AAGAACAAGAGGGAGATATTTTTTCATCTTATGTACCAAAAGAAGAAAGGAAGTCAAGGACTGATGGCTCTATGCCAACTCTAACTGAAGAGGAGGGTGAGAATGCTGATCAGTCAACTCATACCTCCTTTCAAGAAAACATTTCCAGCTCAAGTGAGGAACCTGAGCACTTTAGATCCCTGCAGGAGATATATGATGCAACAAGAGAAATAGTTGATGAAGTAAATCTATGTTTTCTGTGTGTAGAAGAACCAGAGAATTATCTTGAAGCAGTAGAGAAAAGGGAATGGAGAGAAGAAATGACCCTTGAACTTGATTCAATTCAGAGAAATGGAACTTGGGAATTGAGGGATTTACCAAGTAATCACAAAGCAATAGGACTGAAGTGGGCGTATAAAGTCAAGAAAGATCCAGAGGGGAATGTGGTGAAGTACAAAGCTCGTTTGGTAGCAAAAGGATACATTCAAAGGTATGGAGTGGATTATCAGGAGGTTCTTGCCCCAGTTGCCAGAATGGAAACAATCTTAGCCTTGTCTGCACAGAAGGGATGGCCAGTTCACCACATGGATGTAAATACAGCTTTCTTTAATGGAGAACTAAAGGAGGAAGTGTACGTTATGCAGCCAGAAGGATATGTTGATGATAAAAACCCAGGTAAAGTTCTAAAACTACATAAAGCACTATATGTTTTGAAGTAGGCTCCTAGAGATTGGAATGAAAAGTTAGATGGATGTTTGAAGTCAATGAACTTCAAAAGATGTTTATTTGAGCATGCGGTCTACATAAAGCATACAGACACACAAATCACAATTGTAGGGGTCTATGTTGATGACCTAGTTCTCACTGGATCCAGTGTAGAACTCATTCAAAGTTTCAAATCAGAAATGATGAATCAATTTGAAATGAATGATCTGGGACTGCTACGAACGCTACTACTCGGGAATAGAGGTTATGCAGAATGAGGAAGGGATAAGACTATGCCAATCAAGCTATGCTAGGAGAATCATAGAAAGGATGGGAATGAAAGATTGAAACCCTTGCTGCATACCCATGGAACCTAGAAACAAATTGAGTAAGTTTGATGAGGGAGAAGATGTGGATCAGACACTGTATAAAAGTTCAATTGGAAGCTTGAGGTATTTAGTTCATACTCGTCCTGACCTTGCATACTCTATGGAAATAGTTAGCAGGTACATGGAAACACCAACTGTTACACACATGAATGCAGTGAGATAAATAGTTAGATACATAAAAGGGACTGTTGGCATGGGATGTGTGTTTAAAAGAAGCCAAAGAAATGAAGCTTTGATTGGATATTGTGATAGTGATATGGCAGGAGATATAGATGATAGAAAAAGTACAATAGACATCTTGTTTTTCTTAGGAGAAAATCATATTACCTAGGTGTCCCAAAAACAAAGGATTGTTGCATTTTCCTCTTGTGAGGCCGAGTATATAGCAGCTACTGGAGGAGCATGCCAAGGAATTTGGCTCAAGAAATTGTTGGAAAGTTTAAAAGGAGAAATCAGAAGCAGGTCAGTGTTAAAGGTGGATAAAAATGCAGCTATTGCTTTGGCCAAAAATTATGTGCATCACGAAAGGAGTAAGCATGCATATAGATACTCGTTTTCATTTCATACGAGAATGTGTTGAGAAAGGGATCATAAGCCTTGAGTTTACCAAGACAGAGGTGAAATTAGCTGACATTTTGACAAAGCCACTTAGAAGACAAAGATTTGCTGAATTAAGAGAAAAGGTTGGTGTGCAGGATGTGAAAACGAGGAAACAAGTTTAAGGGAGTGGATATTAGTTTTATAAACTTGTTTTATTACGTGTGTTTTATTGCAGTTAAATGTTTTTGGCTAGTAATTAGTTTTAGAGTTTAAGTCTCTACGTGTGCATGTCATGGAAGTTATGTATATATTGTCGTTGGAAGTTTTTTTGCCCACTTGGTGTAACTACCTCACCCCACTCCTCATATGTATAAAGGAACGTGTAAGGGGTAGGAAGTTCATTGAGAAGGGTTTTCCTCCTTAGAAAAATTAAAAGAAAAGATTGTGATTATATGTTTGGCTTCATCTCTTTATACATGCAAACAATGCATGCGTGTATATGTTAGTGTGTATATAGTATATGCAGACGAAGATATATGAGTATATTGCAACAATTTTCACTTCAGAGGCCAAGGGCCTGGAGACGAGCATCTTCCACCCAGAGGCCAAGGGCCTCAAGGCGACCATCGCGGCCAAGCTCCTGGAGACGAGCATCTTCACTTCAGAGTCCAAGGGCCCGGAGACAAGCATCTTCCACCCAGAGGCCAAGAGACTATCAGAGTACAAAAAAGGCATAACACTCTAAAAAAAAATCTAAAGCACTAAATTATTTTTTATTTTTACTAATAAAATATTAGTGTTATATGAAAGATAATAAAAAGTTATGAATTTTGAAATATTCATTTAAAATAATTGTTGGGTTAATGGCCCAAAAGGGATCAGCCCATCAACCCATTAAAGCCTACCGGACATTTGTCCCCTAAGCTCAGGCCCTCTCGTGAAATATCCTGAAGACGGCCTCAAGGAAGAAAGGAAGTTCGTCCCCAGAGGGGACGTCCTGCCACAGGATACCAGACCAGGGGGGCAAATAACTGCTTTCCATGAACAACAGTCTTGAGACGTATGTCGGGAAACACGGAGTGGCTCATCGTCTTGGGAGGCGCCGAGGGTACTAGATGGTGACGTACGTCGGATTCAATTCTACTTCCTTATGTCCCGCGCATGCTCGGAACATCAGAAGTGAGGAACTTGTGTTGGGTTAATGGCCCAACGGGGGTTGGCTCATAAAACCCTCAAGGCCCGCCCTACGGACATCCCAGAAGGCACGAGACAACGAGTTACCTTTTCCGCTTATCCTGACCAAGTTCGTCTCCAACAGGGCCAGGAGACGGTCGCATCTTAGCATAGGGCGAGTGCTCTGACCCAAGGGTAGCGTCTGACGCACGTCTCGCGGGAAACATGAGGCAAGCTCAGGGGCACGGACGTCCTCACCTTTTGGCTAGAAGCCAAGACCCCGGAAGGAAACAAGAGACAAGCTCATGGGGACGGACGTCCCCCACATTTTGGCAGGAAGCCAAGATCCCAGAAGGAAACAGGAGGCAAGCTCGTGGGGATGAACCTCCCCACCTTTTGGTGGGAAACTAAGATCCTGGCGGAAAGTGCATTTAATGCAGAAGATTTGGTGGTTGGGATCAAGCCATCCACAACCCACCACGTCAGTTTATCCAATTACCCATTGGTAGTATAAATAGCAACATTTATTTCTTTGTAAAGGATTGACAACTTAGCACTCTAGCATTCCAACAATTCTTAGCAGTTCGTAACATAGCAGTGGGACGAACGGCCTCACTCCTTCTAACCGCAGAATTATATTGGAACTTCTCATTCGGCCTTTCTTGCTTGATAACAAGAAAGATCGGATAGTAAACGTAACATGCATAATAAATTATAAGTAAAGATCGGATAATGTCAACTCAGAGATAGGTATTTTTACATATAATTTTTTCTTTATTTTATTAATAAAATATATTTTAAAATTATTTTTTCTTAAATCAGCAGAATCAGCCAATGCAACCATTTCAACCAGAATTTCATAAATTTCAGCAGAATCAGTCAAATCAGCCGATTTTCGTGCTACCAAATGGCTCATAATATTATACTGTGTGATAGAAACAAATCAAATTAAAAATTGAAACAAACCCAACCTAATTATTATTTAGAAGGTCATTCAATGTAGGACCAAATCTTGCCCAATTTTGGAACCACTAAGCCCAAATTTGGATCCAACCCAATCTTTTCTCCAACCCTAAGTATACAACCTCATTACCCGGCCAACACACAGCCGCCTCCTTCCTCCATCAGATTTGCCCAACCCTAAAACTGGTGCTCTAACCTTCCATCTTACATTTGCCCCTCTCTTAGTCTGTGTCAGAGATACATCGATTGATCCGGTAAATCTCAATCACCTGTATGTTCATTTAGATCTCAATTATTCCAGCATGCGAGTGTCACCCGTAAATCTCAATGTTAAGCTAATTGACGGCGTCTTCGCGGATGAGTCTGACTCCTCCGACGGAGACTCATCTTAGCCGGTATACTACCTGTGTGTTCCCGTAGTAGGCCGACTCTTGGGAACGAATATGGTATTATACTATTATCCATCACTCGATTTTTGGTATATATATCTAAATCTATAAATTACAATGTCTTTATAATTAGTTTTTCTAATTTGTGTATTCGTTTGAAACATCTAAATTTTTCGTTACTGTGAACTGCTTTTCATGCATGAACTTGAAGATTTTTTAAATACACAAAAAATGTCACTTCCCCGCTGGCTGTATTGGCGGGTTGTCCTTGCTGCTGCATTTGGATGGAGAGAGTGGTACGTACATGTCTCTCTATCAGATATGTATCATTTTGTGGTATGTACATTTCTCACTATCGGATATGTATCATTTTTATTTATTTGATTGACATAATCTAGACAAATTTGATTTATATGGTCTATTGTAAACATGCATAGCTTAAGTGACGAATGTATATGATATCTTTTCAAAATGAGATCTTCATTACCTCTGTGTCACAAATTTTGATGTAAACGCCCAGTTTTTACATACCCCACTGGAACAAACGCTTAGTAAATTAATATACGATATATTATTTCATAAATATTAAAAATAAAAAATAATTAAAACTACATTTATGTAATTATTTTATTAGAGTAATATTTAATTTATGTATACCTGTTTTTATTTATATACCTGTAAGAATATTAGTATTTCAACTTTTACAAATTTGTATCTATACGAATTATTTTAACAAAAAATTAGTTTATTTCAACATTATTGAACTGTAGTTCAATATATATACATATTCTAATTATACATGTATAAATCTAATTTAAGCTTATATACTTAAGCTTTTGATTTGTATTTCTTACACAGATACACATATATATACACAATCAAACAAAAGTGGTTTCTTCAACAACATTATGTCCCCAAGTTCAAACTCGAAATTGAAAAGATTTTGTTTTAAAACCTCTGTGATTATAATGCTTTTTGTATTCATACTTACTTGGATACAATGTTATCGAAAAGGTTATGTTTCTTACTACTTCTTTGTGAAGCCCAGTACTTTTTTTGTACAAACTAACTGCTTTTTATACAAACTTTTTTGAACAATGTTTAATGAGCCACCAGTTGTTTGTCAAGCCCAAAAGTGATTGCTGGTATTTCTGGCCCTTGACCATAAGGCTACTAGTTGCCTTGCCAGCCACTTGAGTGGTCTTCGGATCCGTGTGATCTGATAGCCTGATGGCCATTACCCAATAACACTATTTAAAGCCAAATTCACAAATATTTTGCATTAAGCCTGCAATCCATATTAGTATACATAATCTGGACAAATTTGATTTATATGGTCTATAGTAAACATGCATAGCTTAAGTGATCAATGTATACTGACTGATATCAAAACATTTTGCATTAAGCCTATTCAATATCACATACACTCATATCAATATCATACATGTTTCAAAACAATTAGTATATATATATTTTTTAAACTTGCAAAAAATTATATTAAACTTATATATCAGCCCAACAGAAATATCGATTATCATCAGTTGCATCTTGAACGACCACTTTTATGTAAACTTTCATATTAATATTGATCTCATATAGAAATATACAATGCTCCAATTTTATTTTTTACCATATTCCATGTTTTAATACCATGTTTTAATGAATAATAAATAAATAATGTCAATAAATACGTTTTTAGATCAATGGATTTATATGGTGATGTATTTACAAGTGTAATTGCTTTTCTGCATGTGATTGATATTTTCTTTTATATTGCAGGTCTAATCCAAAAGGATTGATTACATTTTTGAAAATTAGCATTGTTTTCTTTATAAAATGTAAATAAGTAGGGTAGATCTTGGACCTGAATAAGGTGCCCAAATGTGTATTATTTGTAAATGAAATGTAATGATTAACTAGTTAACATTAGGGATCGCATGGTTTTATTATTGGATGGTCAAACTCCCAGGTATGATCTTCGTCCCCTAAACTTTTAAGTCTTGCTTTTTACTTTTTTGACTTTAAATTATCAGAGGCAGGTTGTTTCTAAAATAAACTTCTGACTATTCAATGATTTAAGTAAATAATTCTATTTTTTGTAATAAACAATCTAAATGTTAACTGAACATCGATCTATTTTTAAAACAATGCCCTATGCCCCTATCTGCTTCACTCAAAAAATTTAGTTTTTAAACCCTAGGGTATATGAAATTATTTATCCAAACAGTCTTAACTTTACCTTTATATATACCTTTTTTGTTGCAATTGATTCTATGTGTTTGAGAAACACACTTACCCAGAAACTTGCCAATGATATCTATGTTTATCAAACATCGAGAAAGATTATAATAGAATATGCACATTACCGAAAAACACATAAAATTCTATTTGCATAATTTTCGAAAAGAGTTTAAAGCACTTGATATACCTCTTCATCTTGGGAAACAACTTCTAGTTTGTACATCTCCTACCAATTTTTGTTATAGTTAACCATCAATATACCTAAAAGTATATGAAATTCTATTTTTGCATAATTTCTAGAAAAAAATTAAGCACATGATATACCTCTTCATGATTAAAAATAACTTCTGGTGTATCCCCTCTCCTAAAATGTTGTCGATGTTCAAAGACCCAAAGATGTGTGTTGCTGTAGAATGTGTTACAATTGAAGTACGAGGTATTTATACTACATTTAGAGCTTCTTCTAATAGATACAACATACTCCTTATTACCCAATGGTCAATTGTATGCAATGTCTTAAATGAAATGTGTACCTTCAGCCGCTTCCATTAAATGAACTGTACTCCAAAACGAAAATTGTTTTTAACCAATGGTCCATTTAACCTAAATCTTTACTAAAGATTGTGTAGTACAAACATTAAATGAACTCAAGCAATGCATTGAACTTTTTGAGATAAGAGCTTTGATTACACGTCTCCCTTTATTTAAACCATGCGGATATGCAAATGACATGAAAAGATTTTGTAGTACAAACCCATTAATTTGAAATGACAGTTAAACTTTTTTTAATATTATAATTGTCTTCTACATGTCCTTTTTATTGAGCCTCACAAATTGCTTTAATGGATGACGACCTTTGTATTTAATGCTGTAAAATTTTAGCCACATAATTTCAGACTACAAACCCAATGCAACCGACCCATCTTAGAAAACCTGACCCAACCCACTGCAGACTTGACCCGACCTGTGAGTGTGATATTTTTGAGCGGGAACACCGTTCACATTTTTCTCTTGTTTTTGTATAATAGAAGAACATGGAGTTTAAATAAAAATCAACGGACTGTATTTTACCCTTTAGTACCTTTCAAAAAAAAATAGCTTTCTGGGTAGTAATTCAAAGAATTAATTCCACTTTAAGTCCTCCGAGTTTTGTGTCATTTCCATATTTAGTACTCGTTTTTCACTTTATCCATTTTTGATACCGAATTATTGTTTTCTCGACCATTTGTGGTCCATATCTGAGCATTTTTACTATCGGAAAAGGATTATATATGGTCAAGAAAACAATAGTCAGCTACAAAAAATGGATAAAATGAAAGATGATGACTAATTATGGAATTGGTGCAAAACTCGAAGGACTGAATTTCTTCGTAATTCAAATAAGGCATACTTTTGTTTGACTATAATTGGTAAGGTGACTAAGGCCCCACAAGGGACAGAGCTCGAAGCCGTTGGGATTGAGGCGTTTATTCTAGAGAGAATGAGAGTTGAACTTTGTGTCCATATACACATGCTTCCAATTGTCCCGGATCACAAATATAGTGGGATGAAATATTACAAAATTGCACAGAAAAAGTGGAGTGTAAAATCAAAATTTCCCATTAAATAAATACATAAATGTAATAGTTAGTTACTTCTATAGAAAACTTTAAATCAACCTATATTTTTTATCTATTCTACTCCGTATTTATTTTAGAAATATTCACAAAAGGAGTCTTATTATTTGGAAAAGGCCACACTAAATTTTTATTATAAAATTTCAATTTTTATAGTGAAAAATACTACGTCGAAATATGTATAAAAGCACAATATTTTTCAAGAAACTATTTAAGTGACTTCCCGGTTGAATTTAAGCGTGAACTCGGTGAAATAATTTACACTTTATGAAAAACATGCTCATAAAGTTCAATAAAAGTGCATTCGAGAGGGCCAGGCGACGGTTCCAGTCAGGAAAGCCTGACATAGCCGCTCAAATTGTCAATCTAATGCACAATAACCCTATCCAATGTGTTCATGAATAAATATGTTCTATGTGATGTAGTTGAGATATATATTTATTGTTTCTATCAATATAAAATTTTTAAGTTACATATAAATAAAACCAAGTACTAGTAATAACGAGTAAAACATATCACCATCATGCAACACATTGCAACATAATACAAAAATTAATATAAGCAACGAATGTGTAAATGCATTTATAAACTACATTAAACATAATACAAAAATTAATTTTCTGACACAAAAAATCACAGAATATCGATGATATTAGGATGGATGCTTAACAATTAACAAGTAAATTTTCATACTTTGATTAGTTCGATCGGTTTATTCGGGTCGGCATTGAAGGGTAAAAACTAAAACCGAACCAAACAACTACGATTCGATTCGAATTTCACATCCGGTTTCGATTTTTTAGCACTGCAGTTTTATTTGATTGTGGTTCGATTTATTTTGAAACATTTTTCGGTTTCCGGTTTTTTGGAACGAGTTCTATCTGCCAGCTGCGAGAATGTCTTGGAAACCGTGTTGGTAAAAATGCTTTAAGTTTTAGAGAGATTTACCTAAATAGGACTCAAACTTGTGAAAAATTCCATTATAGGACTACTAGTTTTATCTGAAGTAGCGTAGGACTAAAATAACAGCGGAATGCTGAATTTGCCCTGCGCCTCTCTTCTTCCGGTTCGCCACTTGCGAGCCCTGCTGCAGTTTTCCCAGGTAAGTTCTTGATCTCAAGCTGCTTGTTATTCTTCTTCTTTTTCTTCTTCCTCTTCCTCTACTTCTTCTTCTCTTCTTTTCTCCTCTTCTCTTCTTTTCTCCTCTTCTCTTCTTTTCTCCTCTATTTTCTTCCCACTCGTACTCCGCTTCATTTTTATATTGATTTTTGAATTTTCAGTCCACTTTCTTACTTTTGGGATTCTAAAAGATTGTTTTAGATTAGAAAATTTTGGATGAGAAATCAAAACAAAGCCGCAACGATTTTCTAGCTAGTATCTTCAAATTTGTAGTCCTATGTTCTCTTCTTCTTTGCATTTTTTGGATTTAAATTTTATTTATTCAGCAAAATGTCACTTTTATAATCTGAGAATGTCAAAATTATTGGTTATTTGAAAAAACAGTCATGTTTGTGACAGTACATTTATCACAATGACAATGTGAAAATGTCATATGTCCATAAGAAAATGTCATTCTTATGGCATTCTATGCCATTTTTATGACTTATCTGAGAATGAAATAACTACTTATTATTAGAAATAACATGTTTTCTGACATGTTTTCCAAATGATGTCAGTTTTGATGTCATTCATGACATTTTGAGAGCAAACACACCATTTTAAAAAAACAGAGCAAGAAGAAGAAGAAAATCCATGGAGGAGACAAAGAGAAAGAGAAGAAGAAATCAGAGGAGGAAGAGCTGAAATTGGTGGAGTTTCTAATAAACAAATTGAATGGAAATGGAGGAAGCAAACAAGATCAAACCTGGAGTGGTTTGAGAAATAATAGGAGAAGAAGATTGAACTTGGATACTATTTAGCAGAAGAACGGATAGTGCAAGAGAAGAGAACGAACGGCGCAGGAGAAGAAGATCGATGATGTTGGAGGCGGTGTCTACGAGCAGGAGAGCTATCAGAAAAGCAAGGGCAATTTGGACATTGAAGAAATGACAGAAACTTAAACTAGGAGCCGATGACTCCTATAATGGGAAAAAAAGATGTTATGTCCTACTTTGGCTTTTTATCTATGTTTTAGACCCATTTTGGGCAATTTTCTCAAGTTTTAACCCAACTCTTATATATTTCATAGATAATCTTTTTTAGCAGTAATTTGAAAACAACTTTTAAATATGTAAATAAATAAATACTCCGTACGTGGTAATTTTTAGAGTGATGGAATCCAAAATGCGTGTTCTGGCTCTTTGCCACCTTTACGATTTTGTTTTTGTCGTATTCTTTATTCTTTCTTTTTGTTTAAAATGCTTGATCCAAAAAAGATGAAATCTCCCGCAACGTAACCCCCACAGCTCGACCCGACAAGTCACGTGAGAGGATGTAAATCACGGTAACTCAGTCAATGAAGTAGCAAGAGATTCATATACTCGTGCGCGTCAGTGGTCCAGCTCATTTCAGAGTTTGTAACCTCCACACAGTCACTGCGGGATTCGATCTTTAGTCTCTTGATCTAAATTTCCCACCACTCAATCAGCTACTGTGCGGGTATTTTTTGTTTAAAATGCTATAACTATGACTTGTATGTTTTTGCTACAATTTTGTAAAAAAAATGTCAAATGTAACATATACTCCGTATAAAACTTAAATAAAAATTGAAGAACGTTTACGGTGAAAAAGTTAATTGTAATCATGCTTCGTCAATAAACATAAGTCTAAGTTAATACTCCGTATTTTTTACAAAAATCCTAATATCCGATTGATAGATTATTTTAGGATTAAATTTTGTAATAGATCCAATTGTTTAATTAAGATCTCATAATTATTTTTACATCTTTTAGATACGGAGTATTTTTTTCATTTAAACTACAAAAATTTTATTTATGAGATGTTATTTTTTCATATATTTACACCCAGGGGCGGAGCCAGGGCACTAGGCCGGACTGAGCCGGTAAAAAGAATATTTTTGAAAAAAATTTCACATGAAACTTTTTACACTATAAATTTAGACATTTTTTAAATTTGGGCTGAGCCAGGGCCAGGGCTGACCCTCCCCTAGCTAGGCCCCTGTTTACACCTTTTTAGATTTTTTTTATCTTTAGATATTTGTAACCATCTGGCTTATTTCATTAGACCTTCATGGTACCATGAACGGTGACCATGGCCAAAATAAGCATCACACACGTGAAGCCCATCAAGCGATACTAATAAAATAATCCAATTAATCACGATTAATTAATCAATAAAACCAACTGGACCTAACGGGAGATCATGACCCGCGAAAGTAACCCACATCCAAGTCGACCTGATCAAGTGGGTTCGAGCTTTGCCGGTATTCTAGCAAGGTCGGACTCATCCTAGGACTTACGTAACAGGCTATCGGTTACACATAGCTATTAATTGTACTCGTTATACCTCCTTAGACTATTATAGTCATGTGTCTCTAAATACTTCTGGTACTTACCCGACCTAAAAGGGATCCGTTTTTTCGATCAATAAATTGCCAAAATATATTGTTTACCTAAATTGGCTCTTCTAATTGGAATTAACTCCATCAGACCTTATTCTAATTAAACTAGTTTGGGGGTGTTTGGATCCGATTCTTAAAACTGCTTCTGCTCCTTCAGGGAGCAGAAGCAGAAGTTGGAGTGTTTGGGTGAAAATGCAGAAGTGATTCTGGTGCTCTAATTTACTCCTAGAATCAGTTTTTTTAGAAGCTGGGGGGTACCAGCTTCTGAAAACTTATTCTGCTTCTGCTTTAAAAAAGAAGCAGAAGCAGAATCAGTTCCAAACACCCCCTTTATATGGAAATTAACACCATCAGTTTCTCCCTACAATCTAGCGTCATCATTACAATTACTCAACATTTTTGTGTGTAAATTTAAACTTTTAATAATGAGGTTTGTTAACATAACGTGTTACAAGAACATAAGAAAACAGCTGAAAAAATTTCAAAAATGTAATAATAAAAACATACTCCGTAAGATATTGAAATTAAAAAAAATCGATCACTGGTCGTGCATATATATTCAAAACTTTTAGATGGAAATAGTATTTTTAAGTTTAACATTTCAAAAGTAAACACAAAGTAAATAAAGATTAGTCATGTAAACAAAGTGAGTTATACGTTTGTTTTTAAAAAAGGATTAATGTTTACAAAAGGTCATTTTACATTTCATATACGTATCATACTTGGTGGGTCTACATGACCTGATTTCGGGACCCGTTTGGTCTGGGTCCGGATCCAACTTTTTAGACCCGTCGGGTAAACGAGTCGGGTCCGGATCTATTATTAACTTAGTGGGTGCGGGTCTGGAAAACTACGTCCGACCCGGACCATTGACAGGCCTAGGCGAGCGGGTGCAGGATGCGCATAGGACGACATTATACTTTTTATTAATGAAAATGTATTTTTAAAATAATAAATTTTATACTGGTAATTGAGGGAATGAGTGAGGTTTGAGGAATTGAAACCATTAGTGGTACCATTTTTCTAAATAATGCTGAGTACTCGTACGTGCTAATGCATATCCGGACAAAATTTTACACCTAGGAATACTATATCTGTAATGACAAAATTGATATAATGCCTTAGGATCAAAATAAATATGCAGCGCCGTTAACTACTTTCTCCTGCGGTCTCTTCGATATGCAGCGCCATTAACTACTTTCTCCTGCAGTCTCTTCTCTCTCGTAAGTCTTTCTTATTTACTCATCAATACGATAATGTGAATACCTATATAGTAAAATCGCCTGGCTCATTTTCGTCTTCTTCACTAGGTAGCAACTGCTTTCTCTGTTCATTTTTTGAGCTTCTTTTTAACCGGCGGCATTACCTCAACAAGGACTCAGCGTAGTAATCCGGGAAGTTAATCTGAATCTCACTGGTCAATCGAAGGTCGGTATGTACTACTCTGTCATCTCTTTGTCTCTATTTCTCTATTTTATGCTTTATCATTCTCCAAGAAGAAGATGTTTGATGATCTTGGAGTTGATGTTCTCTAGTAGATCGTCACGCTCAGCTCCGGTGGTTTTTTTTTAATTTGTTTGTATCTTTGATCACCCGAAATAAAAAATCCAATGTTCATGGAGATGATTCTCTCCTGTGGATGGTCGGGCCAACCAATCTCTGGTCCGGAGATAGATTGAAATTTTTTGCATGAATTTTTGTAATCTTCTTCCCTTATGGCTCTGTCATTTTTTAATTTTCTTTGTTGCTTGTGCTCGTGCCTGTATGCATATTATCAGATCTAACATTTCATTTCTACTTTTACCTAAACCCTAACAGCAACCCGGCGCCTTCCGATTTCAGCATCAAGGTTTTTCTATGGCATGCATCAGAACATGTACAGAATTGCCGGATGACTTTTACAACTTTTTTCATTAATAGTACCAAAAGTATTTATAGACACATGACTACAATAGTCTAAGGAGGTACAACGAGTACAATTGATAGCTATGTGTAACCGATAGCCTGTCACGTAAGCTCTAGGATACTCAAGCGTATCAAAAGAAACTTGAGTAGGATTGACCGATTGAATCATTGATACGCATACATAATACCTAAAAAAGTTGTAAAAGTCATCCGGCAATTCTATATATGTTCTGATGCATGCCATAGAAAAAACCTTGATGCTGAAATCAAAAGGCACCGGGTTGCAGTTAGGGTTTAGGTAAAAGTAGAAATGAAATGTCAGAGCTAAAAATATGCATATAGGCACGAGCACAAGCAACAAAGAAATTAAAACAATGACAGTAAAAGCAAAATGGAATTGCAGAGAAATTCCATAAGGGGAGAATATTACAAAATTTCATGCAAAAAATTTCAGTCTATCTCCGGACCAGAGATTGGCCGGCCCGGCCATCCACAGGAAAGAATCATCTCCATGAACATTGGACTTTTTATTTCGGGTGATCAAAGATACAAACAAATTAAAAAAAAACCACCGGAGCTGAACCTGACGATCTACTAGAGAACATCAACTCCAAGATCAACGAACATCTCTTCTCAGAGAATGATAAAGCATAAAACAGAGAAATAGAGACAAAGAGAAAACGGAGTAGTACATACCGACCTCCGATCAACCGATGAGATTCAGATTAAATCCCCGGATTACTACGCTGAGTCCTTGTTAAGGTAATGTCGTCGGTCAAAAATAAGCTCAGAAAATGAATAGAGAAAGCAGTTGCTATCTAGTGAAGAAGATGAAAATGAACAGACGATTTTACTGTATAGGTATTCACATTTTCAAATTGATGAGTAAATAATAAAGACTTACGAGAGAGAAGAGACGGCAGGAGAAAGTAGCTAATGGCGCTGCATATCGAAGAGACGGCAGGAAAAATTTATTATTTTTAAAATAAATTTTCATTAATAAAAAGTATGATGTCACCCTATGCGAACCCTGCACCCGCCCGCCTAGGCCTGTCAATGGGTCGGGTCTGGGTCGGACGTAGTATTCCAGACTCGCACCCGATAAGCTAATAATAGATCCGTACCTGACCCGTTTATCCGACGGGTCTAAAAATTTGGACCCGGACCCAGACCAAACGGGTCTCGGAATCGGGTGGGGTAGACCCGCCAGGTATGATATGTATATGAAATGTAAAATGCCCCTTTTTTAAACATTAATCTTTTTTTAAAAAGGAACGTATAACTCACTTTGTTTACATGACTAATCTTCATTTACTTTGTGTTTACTTTTGAAATGTTAAACTTAAAAATACTATTTCCATCTAAAAGTTTTGGATATGCACCACGATTATTTTTTTTTTTAATTTCAATATCTTACGGAGTATGTTTTTATTATTACATCTTTGAAATTTTTTCAGCTATTTTCTTATGTTCTTGTAACACGTTATGTTAACAAACCTCATTATAAAAAGTTTAAATTTACACAAACAAAAATGTTGAGTAATTGTAATGATGGCGCTAGATTGTAGGGAGAAACTGAAGGTGTTAGTTTCCATTTAAACCAGTTTAATTAGAATAAAGTGTGATGGAGTTTAATTCCAGCTACGAGAGCCAATTTAGGTAAACAATATATTTTGGCAACGTGAGGCAATTTATTGATCGAAAAAACGGATGCCTTATAGGCTGGGTACGTACCAGAATAGGACTTATCAATCTTCCCGGATAGGACTTTGCCAAACACAACATGCTGCCCATCCAACCTATCCAAACCATAGAACAAAGAAATCATTGGAATCTTAAAAACAGATTTTCCCGCGCATACAATAAGTGGGAGGAGTTTGGCATGACAAAATGGAATATAGAGTATATTTGGTAAAACCACTTTTAGGGTGTGAAAAAAGTATAAACTATTTTACCTGCTTGTTGCCACTGTGGTGATGAAGAACTGTGATCTGTTGGTATCTGGTCCAGCATTCGCCATTGATAGAATTCCTAGTCCCAAAATAACATAGCAAGGCTCAGTTCTGTAAAGGGTGATTTTGGCTGAAGTTGGTGAAATTATTGAAACTTTGACAGATATTTAAAACTTTACATTGTTAAATTGCTGAATTACTAGTGAAAAGAATTTTTAACACACATACATAATATATAAGGCAGGGTGTGGCCGGTGTGCATTAAATAAAATAATGTTTGGTAAAAAGGATCAAGTTGATAAGCTTCATAATTTAAAAATGCTAAGAGGCTGAAAAATGGACACTAAGAGCCCGTTTGGTAACACCAAAATTGGTTGAATTGGCTCATTTCAGCTGAAAATTATGAAATTCTAACACCAGTGGCTGGATTTGTTGATTCTGCTGAATTATGAAAAAATTATATTTAAAATATATATTATTCATAGAAATAAAGAAAAAATTATATGAAAAATAGTTAAAATGATCCTCTACAGTAACATTAGCCAATCCAGCCAGAAAAGTAACTTTAATCTTACTTATTTTTATTATTACACACTTAGCGCGACAAATGAAAAATTACGTTTTTGGTGAAAAAGTTAGCTGATAAGCCAAAAATAACTTAGAAGTACACTTAGGTTTTTCTGCTTATTAGTAGAACTACAATAAGCATATCAAGAGCATGTCCAATAGCACTAAAATCAATTGAATCTACTGAAATTGCTGAATTGTGGTTCAAACAGTTGAATTGCCTCTTGAATTTGCTGAACTATAGAATAATGGCATTTAAAATATACTTTATAAATAAAACAAAGCAAAAAATTGGGGAAAAACTAAAGTTGTCCTCTTTGGTCACAAAAATAACTTTGATCTTACTTATTTTGATTATTACACAATTCACCATGTTAATTTAAAAGTTAAATATTTGGTTAAAAAAAGGTAATAAGTCGGAAAAAGAGAGTACCAAATTGGCATAAGTAGCTTTTGGCCTTAGTTTGCTGAAATAGATGTTACGATGTATATTCTTACTGAAGACTTTTCCTTCAGCGAATTATGTCATTTTAAGTCGTAAGTATTTAGTACTGGAGTAGTACAATATGTCTCTACAATGTATTGTTTGGTTTTTAAACATTACCAGAACCAATGTGCTTTAGTTTGAAGTTCTCATCTGCAAAGCTGTTGCCATATATCGATTCTCCACCTCTCCCATCCCCACTAGTGAAGCCAACTCCCTGGATCATGAAGCTAGGCATGATCCTATGAAAAGCACTTCCTTTATAGTGGAGATTTCTCCCGTTCTTTCCCATCCCTTTTTCTCCTACAATGACAAAAATTTATTCAGCACCCGCTGGACATTGTTAGTTGGCGTTACCTTGACTAGTATAAAAGAATGTTATAATTAGTTAGATTTTAGAAATAATACTTTCCCAACTAGGAAAGATAGTACAAATCCAGAATTCATACAGCTTTTGTTGGGAATTTTACTTTCTTCGTACTGGTTAGTGACTACAGCATCATTTTATACTGCTCACTAACCTATGACCAAAACATAATCTGGTGGCAATTCGAAAAGGAGTAAAAAGTTATTCTGGTTGTCACTAACCTGTACAAAGAACTCGGAAATTTTCTGCAGAATGAATATTACTTCAGTTTGAATGGGTAGTTTTAATATACCATAGTATGAAGTATGATATTTTGAAATCATCAATGAAAATAAAATGGATGATGTAGAAGAGTGTGCCACCATACCTACAGTTTTTGGAAGTGTTCCCAAAGAGACCTATGACCACACGACCTGAAATGGAGGTTGACATGATTATAGGACATGACTAAGAGAAATGAAATTCACAGACTTCAATTGCTTCCATTATAGCAGGAGAAAATGAAAGGCCAAAGATTTTGTTTTTGTATAGCAAATTCACATCTGCATACTGTGGTATGTATTCACAAAATGGATGCACACAACTCTTGTGTTTCCTATATACAAATTTTGAAACTATTATTGTGTTGCTTATATACCAACTTTGACCAATGTTACTGGAAGTATACATTTGACAAATCTTAAGATCAGTTTGGCTAGAGGGTTTTGGAGGGGCTAGACTATATCTTGTCTGGATAAGTAGGATGCTTTTTAAAATGAGTAAAGGGTGATCACAATCTCAAGTGATCATGCACTATGTTATTCATTTCCATTGTTTATAGAAACTCAAAAATATGGCATGCGTCATTGATATAGCATGAATGCATGATATATTGATATAGCACCTCTGAAGACCAAACCCGTCCATTCAAACTGGTCCCTAAAGATGCTAGTTATACTATAGTGTCAAACCAATTCTAAGGTTATCCTAGTATCCTACTTTCATTTCCTTGTACAAGGGGTTGGGATTAATTCAGAATGTTTGCTGGTCCCTCTATACAGAGAAACATAAAAAGCAACACAAATTAAGTCATACAGATAAACTCTTTTCAAGTTAAAGATGTGTTGTTTAATTGTTTGGAAGAAATGCAGTACAATGCTATCGCAAGCAGAAGATAGAAAATGAAAAAAAAAAAAGAGAGAAATAATTACCTGCAGGTTTTACATTAATTTCAGTGTCGAAGTATACTTTGTGCGTAACATCCTCTACATCTTCAGTTGTTTTTTCCTACACAAGTTTGCAAGGCAGATTTTGAATAAAAAAGCTATTAGTATTATATCCTTCGTAGACATTCAGTGGAGCCAGAAATGTAGATTATAAATTTTAAAAAAGGGCTAGGCTCCTTGCAATCTTGTTATTTCCACAACTGTAAACAATTACCTGACTCAAACATACAATCTGAAGTTGTTTTCTATTAATTTGAATACAAATTGACCTAAATAGGAATAAAACCAATGTGAAATTGTCAAAAACTGTCAAATATTGCATTAGTACTGCAACACTAATTCACTCATATTTAGAGGAAAAATATAGTACTTCCATTTCGAATTTCAGGTTGTTTATAATCCTATCTAGGAGAATGTACATAATTCAGATATACAAAATTACGAAGTGATTACAAACCTTATAATTGATGCTCTTCTGGTCTATTGCAGCTGAAACATCACTTATGCGGTTCTGCAAGGATAATATATCAGTGTGGCCATCGCCATAAAATTGATATCTTAAGAGAAGGGCTATGAATATAACATCTTCTTTTTTAATTAATTCGAGTGCTACTGGGAAACTAAGAGGTACACTTACAAGAATAAGGGCTAGGGTTCCAAGCATAATGAGAACCCAAATGAGTACGATGGGAAGCAGGTTTTTCCAAAAGATGTAAAACAGTATTCCATAGCTTCTCTCTTTACGGTGGGACTCCTACTTTTTTAAATTCAAAAAATAATTTGACCTTTGCTCTTATTGTCCGTATTGCATTTCCCATACCAAATTAAGATATACGGAGTATTCAAAATGAAAAATACCAAATATGATCTCGTTTGAGTATCATATTTTTTGGCTTATCAGGTTTGTCAGTCAATTTTTTAATCAAACACGTAAATTTTTATTTCGCCCATTGACTTAAATTATTATAAATGATCATTTTAATTGTTATTTCATAGTCATAATTTTTTCTCTTTTATTAATAAAATATATTTTACATATAATTTGTTCATAAATCAATAAAATCAACCAATCCAGCTACTTTAGTCAAGACTTCATAAATTTCACCAGAATCAGCCAATACAGCCGATTTGGGTGTTACCAAACGGGCTCTAAATAATGTTTTTCTCATCTCCTAAAAACACAATCGAAAAATACACCAATGATGTTTTTACTTGGACTGTAATTTGATGGTCTGCTCTGGTCTGAATTTTTTTTATATTTTTTCCATAAAGATTTTATTTTTTATATATATTATAATCCATAAATTATTATATTTTATTTATTTATAATTAAAAATAATAACATTCTTTTCAAATTATCGAAAATTGTTATCGTTTTACTTGGACAGATTTCACCGAAGCAGATCAGACCCGATCATACAAATACAGAACAACTCAAAGTAGACCAGACCATATCAGAATACACTGGACTAGTCCAAATAAAAACAGGACAAAAGACAAAATAATATTATTATTATTATTATTATTATTAGTCCAAGTAAAAACAACTCAAATGTCCATAAAAATGAAATATGTAATTATTTTTTAATGATAAAATAAAAATGTTATTATTTGTAATGCGTTATGCTTCTTTTACAAAATGGTGAGTACTACTTATTACTATCTCCATCCCAAATCGATTTGCAAAATTGATTTTTCGTGATCAAACAACTTCATTTTATTTAGTTAATTATGATGTGAATTTTTAATTATAATCCAATTTGGAGTTTGCAACTTTCCAAATATCTAAATTTTAATGTATAGAGGAATTTATTTAAATATCTAAATTTTAATGTGCAACTTTCCAGATATTTTAATGTACTTTCCAAATATCTAAATTTTAATTATTAAAAATTGAAGCAATTATCAGTATAGAGGATTTAACTTTAAAAAGACAAGATCGGTAAGCCCAAAAACTCCAAAAGTTGAAAATTGTTGAATTGATAAAAAATAATTTAGAGCCACATAAAATTTATCAAATTTGATACGAAGTACTACTTCCGTTCTTAAATAAATGCAACACTTTGACTTTTACACTATTCACATGTTCTACTTTGACTACGTTTTATTTATTAATGTAATAATATTACGGAGTATTTTATGAAAAAAATATTGTTAAACTTGTCTCATCGTAAATTTTCATAATCTAATTTTTTTAATTTTTTACTAATACAAAATCATTTATATTAATGGTCAAAGTTATGTCTCGACAAGTGTGAAATGTTGACCGTTACATTTATTTAAGAACGGGGGGAAGTACTGCGTATGAGATTTTATAAATGAAATTTCCTAAAATGACGAGGTGACGGAGTAACTATTAGTAATACGGAATATATTTCAATGACTAATTTTATTGGCACTATAACATACTACGAATAAAAAAATCATAAAATAACTTAAGCTACCTACACATAGCTCAAACTTGTCAGATATGGATCTGACAACACTATTTTACACTTTTTGGAATGGATTACACAAAACTTACATTTTTATTTCAAAACCCCGATATATGAAGAGGGTTTTGACATAAAAGTGTAAGTTTTGTGTAAAGTAACATGTTACTTCTTTTGAACAAAATAAAGGGCTCCAAAATATTTCTTGTTTTCCGCCAACTAACGAACTTCCTCTCTTTCCCCACCATTTTTAACGCTGCAAAGTTCAGAGCATCGCAATATAGCTCCGAAATTAATTAAACTTCCGAGTCCGGATTGGCGATTCGGATCTTCCGGCTCCCCCCACCAATGTCTAAACAGACGTACAGCGTCTGTTTCTGCTTCCGTCGGCGGTTCCGCCTAGCCGAAGCCGAGGCTCCTGCGGAGATTAAAAGCCTATTCGATCAATACTCCGAAAATGGGGTTATGAGCGTCGATAACCTTCACCGCTTCCTGATCGAGGTTCAGAAGGAGGATGAGGCTACGATGCAAGACGCTCAGGCCGTCGTGGATAGCCTCCATCACCTAAAGCTTTTGCGTCACAAAGGTCTCAATCTCGCAGCCTTTTTCAAGTATATCTCAGGCGGTGCAAATTCTGCTTTTAATCCTAAACTTGGGGTGACTTTCCTATTTCCTACTTATCTTTGAGTTTAATAAATGAGTGGAATTTCTAATTTTGATTCTCAGCTCTCTTAAATTGGAGAGAAAATCATGACTACTTGTAGTTTTCATCCATTATTTGCTTTTTACAGTACTCCCCAATAACTATCAATCTAATTCATATCTTTATTGGTAGATATGCTCATATACGTTATTGACTGTTTCTTTTAATATTCCCAGATTCACCATGATATGAATTCTCCCTTATCACACTACTTCATATACACCGGCCATAATTCTTATTTAACTGGCAATCAACTAAGTAGTGATTGCAGTGATGTCCCTATTATAAAAGCGCTGCAAAGAGGTGTTCGAGTAATTGAGTTGGATATATGGCCAAACTCTACAAAGGATAACATTGATGTTCTCCATGGAAGGTTTGTCATTGTTAAGTGCAGGTTTTCTTTTAGTTCTTGTTTTAGTATCAATTGATTTTGTATTTATTAGGACCCTGACCACTCCAGTGGCACTTAGCAAGTGTTTGAGGTCTATTAAAGAGTACGCCTTTTCTGCATCCGAGTATCCATTGATAATAACTCTTGAAGATCATTTAACTCCAGATCTTCAGGCTAAAGTGGCAAAGGTGGGTATTTTTATATATATGTGTATTTTTTATTGATATCAAAGTCAGTGTTATGGTTGGACTATTGATTGCAGTCATGACTAAATTCTAGATGATCACACAAACATTTGGAGAGATGCTGTTTTGTCCTAACCAAGACAATTTGACGGAATTTCCTTCACCAGAATCACTGAAAAAACGGATTATTATATCAACTAAACCACCCAAAGAGTACCTACAGACAAAGGAAGCTAAGGAGAAGCCACATAAAGAAAGCAGTTCAGATGAGACTGAAGCTTGGGGAAGAGAAGTTTCAGACCTGACTGCAAAAGATAATTATGATAAGGTTCATAAGGCTTAATTCCTACTCCCTCCGTCCCTTATAACTTTGACAACTTTCCTTTTTTGGATGTCCCACTAACTTTGCCACTTTCCTTTTTAAGTAAAGAATTTGTGGTTCCAGTTAATTCTCTCTCCTCTGCACAAACCTCAACCACACAGTTTTTACTTTATTAATCACCGTGCCGGTCAAACTTGGCAAAGTTATTAAGGGACGGAGGGAGTCTTAAACATTGTGTATGCACACATTATAAGCAGTAAGTGTCCTAGTTACTGATGTTGCTAGCTTACGAAGATCTTGTTTGGTAACACATAAATTGTCTGAACTGTGAAAATATATTGAAATTGTTCCTGAATTTTCTACAAGATATCAGACTATATGAAAAAGGGTAAATTGGTCATCTTCAGAAACTTCACAAAAAAGTACCTCCAGTTTTATTTTTTTCCACTTGCCCAATTCAACATGAACATTCAAATAAGTTAATGCATGACTATATGGTAAAAACTGTCTTATTAGGGGCTGATAAGCCTAAAAAGGTGGCTATCAAACGGCCTCTAATTTCTTTCCATTAGGACGATGCTGATGATGACGAAGAAGAAGACCCAAAGTCACAACAAAATGGCACACCAGAATATAGATCTTTAATTGCCATTCATGCTGGAAAGGGGAAGGGTGGACTTTCTGAGTGGCTGAGAGTTGATATTGATAAAGTGAGACGGCTGAGTTTGAGTGAGCCACAGCTTGAAAAGGCAGTTACAACTCACGGAAAAGAAATAATTCGGTATGAGTTTGACATTCTCTATATTGGTATATTCAAATCAAAATATGCACCTACTGAAAGAAATTTAACTTGTTGCTTAATTAATACGGAGTACTTATATTTGTGCTTACATAAATGTTAGTGCAATATAACTTTAATGATGAAAAAAGACTTCTGAAAGGAAGTTGGTTAAATTTTAAGAAAAAGTGAGTTTATTATGATAGAGATATTAATTTATTTTAGATAAACTTTCCCTGATATTTTTAATCCAATTTATCAAATTTGAAAGAACTACAAGTTATTTACTCAGTTCTATTTTTTTCTTTGATATTTAATTGTTAAAGATTCACGCAAGGAAATTTGTTGAGAATTTACCCAAAGGGGACACGCTTCAACTCCTCTAATTACAATCCCTTAATTGGCTGGATGCATGGAGCTCAAATGGTGGCATTTAATATGCAGGTTAGGCTTTTTCACGTCCTTTTTGTTTTCTTGTCAATAATCGATCATAAGTTTGTTACCTTCTGTTAAAATGGGCCCAATAACTCCTATTTGCTACAGGGTTATGGTAGATCACTTTGGTTAATGCAAGGCATGTTCAGGGCAAATGGTGGTTGTGGATATATTAAGAAACCAGACATATTGTTGGGATCTGATTCTTCTTATGATATATTATTTGATCCTAAGGCTCCACCACAAACTACCTTGAAGGTGACTAGAGAATCCCATGGCTCAAAATTGTGTGTTCAATAAGTTATCATGAAGATGCATTCTACTATGCATGTGTAGGTGATTCGATTTTTATGAATCAGGTCACTGTATATATGGGCGAAGGATGGTATCAAGACTTCTGCCATACTGATTTTGATGCATATTCACCTCCAGATTTCTATGTGAAGGTACTTTCTTTTTCTTCCCTTTTGTTTTCAGTTTGATATTATCATGGTTTAGTGCAAGTGGAAAACATTTGAGTGATG